GTCCGGCGGGGGGGGACGGCCCCTTCTTCGGGACGCAGAAGCGATCTGGCGACAGGTAAGTCGCCAAGATCGCTTCTGTTGTAAAGCCGACAGTCGGCTCTACAAGTTTAAACAGAGTCCCAGCGGCAAAAGTCACCGGGAGTCTGTTTAAACAGCCCCGATGCTGGCGACGTACACTGTACGTCGTCAGTCACGAAGGGGTTAACATTCTGAGCTACAAGTCTTCACTGTCCAGGTCGCGCCTGTGCATTACAATCCAATGGGCTCAGATCAGCCATGTCCCTAAGTCAGTGGTTCTCAACCTTTCTAGGGCCGAGATGTGTATAAATAAAACACCTTTCTTTTTTGTGTCCTTATCCTTTAAGATTTGTACACATCTCCCTTGTTCATTAAAAACAACAAAAGGCAAAACACATCAAGGTTTTAGATTGTAAGCTCTCACAAGCTTGGGCCCTCCTAACCCTTTTGAATTGTACTGTAAAGTTTATTGGCTTCCTTTGTTTTGCAAAGCAGTGCACAAAACTGTTGGCACTTTATAAATCCTGTAAAGGACTAACAAAAAAAAACAAAAAAAACAACAAGAAAAATTACACACAAAACGGTATCCTGAGTGCAGTGACCTGTGGAAAGTTACCAGTCTGAAGTGTTCAGACTCTTATAGTGGAGCACACTTTATGACCATTTATAAGCTGCAAATTATGCAAAGAATCTACTGCTCAGGCTATACTTACCTGAAGTCCAGGTCCACCTCACAATTAGAAAATCTCTGGTTAAAAAGCAACTTTGCTATATTGGCAAAAGTATACCTGACCATCACACCTATGAACTTGTTGGATCACGCCAAAAACTATGGGTATTACTATGGCGTTGTCCCTCCTTTGCAGCTGTAACAGCCTCTACTCCACAAGAATATAGAGTGCGTCTGTGGGCATTGTGTCCTTTAGCCAAAAAAGCATTTTGTTGGATGAGAAGACTTGTTTTGCAATTGGTATTCCAATTCATCCCAAAAGGTGTTCAATAGGGTAAAAAAGCTGAAAATCCAAATCCTGCAAAAAAGAGCTCCTTCAAAAGTTCCAGAGAGCAATTTCAAGGGATTTGGAGTACTTAGCCTTCCAAGAAGGAAGGACTAAAAGGCAGTGACATCGATCAGTGCCTACAGGATGCAGCTTGTACCTAAGATCTGAGGTTCATTTAAAAAAAAACATTTTCCTTTAATACTTTTAGTATTTTTTAGCATGCAGTGACATCAGAAGGACTGCCTTCTGATGTCACTGCACTGAGCTGAGTCCTACGAACAGGTTTTTTTATCGCTTTGCTGCCATTTGCCCTGCTGGTCTGATCCAGTAATAACCAATGCCTGTACTGTTTACACCATTGTGAGTACGCATTTTTATTTAATAAATTGCATTTTATTGGACGTTACACACTATGTCCTTGTCCTTTTTCTCTTTCCACCTGGATTTATACTGGTACCTGCGATCTGAGGAGACCTTATCGCCTTTTCAGGTGCATGGGCTTCCCTCCCCCATTAAGGGAAAAAGCGCATTTGACCTAGCTCTGTGGGTCTACCTCCCCAGGTGAGCACTCACTTGTTGTCATCACTCACTGGGTGGAGGTGAAGGTCTGCCTGCATTATCTATATTGCTTTTTTGTCTTTGTGTAGATATTTTCTATGCCTCATTTGTTTGAAGGTTCATATATGTGACTCATTTATATATGTTTCAATTTATTAGATATGTATGATTATTAGCTCGGCACAATATTGTTTTTCACATTTTCCAGATATTTAGTTATATCCTTTGTGCTTGGCAGCTCTTATTTCCACATTACACTTACTGGCGCTGATCACCTTTATTGTTTATTTTTTGCCTTAATGTGTTACTGTATAATCAGGGGTGGAGAAATTAATAGGGGATTCCGGAGCCAGTCTGTCCAATCATTTTTTTTAAGCGCCAGCTCCACTAACAACAAATAGAGAAAACCAGCCAGCTATAAATTTTAAGGAGCATTGGCTTCCTGGCTCCTGGGATTTGCCCAGCTCTGGTTAAATGCATCACAGACTACTGCGCAACACCTTAATCTTCAGGTATACCTTCACATATAGCAGAACCCTGTCCAGAAAATGATTGCTAATCATTAGAGATAGCCCTAAACCAAATTTGGTAAGATAGTCACAGTATTATAATACACAAATTATATACAGCTCCAACACATAGACAATGAGATAAACAGTTTTATGCACCACCACCAGGAGGAAATAACTATGTAGAACGCTAGGTGTATATATATATATATATATATATTGCAAAGCTGTACGATTAGCAATAAAAATCAGTCATTCAAAACTCCCACATGTGCAGATCTTTCATCATTTACAATAAATATTAAATGATGTACACTCTACTGCACATCTCGTTGGCTTGATCTCTTAGAAGATCACTAAAATCCAATAATGTTTTTAAACTTTCAAGTAGGAATGCACCGAAATTAATTTTTTTAGACGGAAACAAAAAAAAATTGTCAGGCCGAAACTGAAACCAACTTTTTTTTTTTCCAACATTTTTTAAATATTTTTTTTAGCTACTTAATTTATATATTTTTTTTTTTAACTTTACTGTTAGGGGCTTTGGGGAAATATTAGGGATCTATGTCCCAAGTTATTAACAAACACTCAGCGATCATTACTGAGTGATTGTACTCTGCTCTCCATTCTCACTCGCCTATCGCAGGAGGCCAAGCAGGACGGTGCAGGAGGAGAGCTCCCTCCTCCCCCGCTCAGGCTTCTGACAGTCTTTCCCTTCCTGCCTGGCCATTGCTCTGTGTCCCCTAAAGGGGGGGGGGGGGAGCAGCAGGGATTAGAGAGGACACAGACCAGCGCCCAGCAGGGAGGAGAGAAGCAAGGGATGTATTTTATTTCTTGCAGTTTTGGTAATATCGACATTTTGCCCATAGTACCATTTTCAGCCAAAATGTTTTGGCAAAATAAATTTCTGTGCTTCTCTACTTTCAAGTGGTACTAATAATAATTATCTGATAGAAATATAGGGGTAAAAGCTTCAGGTATCCTGTATTTAAAAATAAAACCTATAAAACATTTTTTTTGTATAATGAATATATACAATTTTTTTGTAATTAAAATTGCCACTAGGAAACTTTTTTCAAAATACATACAGTGAGGCGAATTTATCAAAACTGGAGCAGACGTGATCTGAAGCAGTTGTCCATGACAACCAATCAGCTTCTCTTTTTCATTTTAAAAGCTTAACTGAACAAACTAAAGAGAAGCTGATTGGTTGCCATGGACAACTGCTCCAGATTATGTTTGCTCCAGTTTAGTTGATTTTCTACAAGTATGTATGCCAATTAAAAGACCCCTTTAGACCCCATTCACACGTAGCGACATACCTTTTGAAGCGGATCCGCACGGCCGGGATAGCGCGACTTTCGGGGCGACGTTCCAGCGACGGTAGCGCGACCTTCTCCGTCGCGCTCCATAGAAAAAGGGCAAAATCGCGCAAAATCCGCCGAAAAAAGGGTCCGGTAGAAGCGACTTGCGACCGCGACGAGCGACATGGAGTTAAGACAGCTCCATTGAATAGCATTGGCCGGCGACTTCTCGCGATATCGCGCGGCAAAAATGCGCGAAATCGCGCGATAATTCGCTACATGTGAACGGGGCCTTATGCTCCTGAAGTGCCAGTTAATTTCATTAGCACAGTTTTGTCACACAACAAATTATATAAAATCGCCCAACAAAAACAGAAGGCATAAAAATATGATTAAAAAAAGAATCACGTATAAATTAAGCACAAAGGCAAGTAAAATATCATCATATGACACTTGTTTAAAATGGACTCCCTTGATTGTTAATCTTATGTAACAGCATCACTAGAAACGTTTTCAATAAATGGAATGAACAGGCATATTCCCTTTTTCATCTCTGAAATACTGCGGATGCATATGCATTTGTCAGGCATTGTAATGTATTGTAATCAAAGATGCATATGAGCCATGTAATAACATGTATTCATTTCCTATGATCCTCAGCTCTATCTAGTGGTCATGATGCGGTATTTTCCCAATTCACTCTTCTATATGGATGAACCTATTGAAGGAGCATTCAACCAGAAGAGAAATTATTCTTTTTGCCCCATTCTCACAACAGATAACAGCCCCTAATGAATGCACATGCAGTTTCACAGGACAAGTAAGCTATGCAAAGTTTTTATAAATAGACCACCAAATTTCTACACAACCACTGTGTTAAAATTCGAAAATCTACACATGACATCAGATAACCACTGGCATCACTATACACAAAGAGCATATTTTTATTACATTACAGAGCACTAATAATTATTACAGCTGCATCTGCAAAGGGTCTTACAAAGAACAAACAGACTCGCAAAATATTTACAAGAATGAGCAATAAGTCTATAAAAAGTATATACGCAA